GATGCTCCGGAGAATACCACCGGGAGTGATGTATCTACACAACGCGAGACGCAACGCTATGGAGTCTAACAAACATTGTTCGGAACTCGCAAAACTGTTTTTGCGAGGCAAGACATGCCATCCTTCTTACTGGCTTTCCCACCTGTAACAGTGTGCGACGCAGAATAACATTGGTCTGGACTGAAGGTTTGAAGAATCGCCTAGATGAGGTAATGAGAACGCGTAGCCTCCTGCATACGACATTCAACTCCCACATTTACTGCACCATCATCGACTCAAATTGCTTCCTCACATCAGCGCGGCGTCTATGATGGTACTCATGGAGGTCGGAAGTTTTACGCCTTTAAGTTAAAGCCTTTCTTGACATAAATGATGCCACTGCACCTGCAGAATTCACAACAACTTCTACTAAAACGCCTTGACTTTGCATTTATTCACTACTCCAACTAGTCTCGGTATCGCCCCTCCAGCACTAATAGGCATTACAACTCGAGATATGGAGTGCACATTTGCTCCATCATTGCACCACTGATGAAGCCGTAAGCAGTTCGCCACCTTCGTAGCATGGATTCAAGTGTGTCTCGAAACCGTACGCACACCCTACACGCCTCAACGACTGTGCTGCGCAAAAGGAGACGTTTCCAACCCAACGTATACACGCAAACCAACTTCGAAACAATTAGCACATCACGACACAACGCCTCCCACTCTGTTGAGCCATTCACCAAATGGTCTTGGCGACAGGACATCCACAACAACTCAACGCCTTCCTCCATCCACAAAACCCGAAGCAACGAGCCACGCCCAACTTCCGCTCCCACACTTCATTGTATAAGCTGCCATACTCTCCCTTCACTCTCTTTCCATGAACGACCTTCATTGCTACTACTTATTTGTGTGTCTTCGCATGCAAATGCTTCTTCTCTCTGTCCCTACCTCCAGCATAAGTATTCTTTACCAAAGAAAGTGTAAGGATCACCATCCAAGCACTGCCAAATGAGCCAGTCTTCACACGCGAGCGCCACAACAACCCCAAATTTGCCCTCCTAAGT